TAATTTATTATATATTAAATTATTTATATTTAGTAAATCCCCGGAATAATGCTAATGGGGATTTTTTTCTGCAATTCAGTCAAAATCACCACGAATAAATAAAAAAATTAAATGTTAATTTTGGACATTTATTTATTTGAACAAATTAACTTTAGAACAAAAGTTAGTGTTCTACGATATGATCTAAGGATGTTGTTTTTAATCTCACCTGAGCCATGATAAAAAGAATTGATAACAAATTATAAAGTATTTAAATATAATATTGAGAATTAAACATTAGTAAAGTTATTACCATAATATTACGTATTACGTAATAGTAGCTGAACAACTATTGAACCATGTTTATGCTGTGAAACTAGTCTTTCAATGTTTTACTATTATACATTTATAGGTTTAATGGTTTGACAATTATAATACAGTAATAGTACTACTGCGGTACTGCGCTATTTATACTATTACATTAAACATAATAAATGAACAATTATTTATACTTATACTTATTGGGTTAAATTTATTCTATTCTATTACGAATTGCCCCAATGTAAGTATTTTGTAACTTTTCATAATAATCATAGTCATTGGTTTTATTCTTATATTTTTTTAGCCATCTAATGGATCATTGCTACGACGAGGATGTTTTATTTAATCAATTTTTGATATCTCTGTGCAAATCTTCTACAGAAATATTTTATAAAGCTGTTGAAAATGGATGGCCTATATGTGTTCCCAGAGAAGGTTCCTTCTCTAAAAATAAGTATACTGAAAAAGATTTCAACGATCACATTTTAACTCCCAGTAAGTGTTCAGATTTAAAATTTATCACAATAAGTGGCCACGATGTTTCTGTGGACAACCATGCAATTAAATGTCAATATGAAAACAAGACTTACACAGTAGACATACTATTTATTGAAACATGCTATACAGAAGATAATCACAGTTATAAAGTAATATGCATAGGCGGCCCATTAAATTGTGCTACCGTGTTGGAAGATATTATTGTAATAACATCTGTTCAAGACTGTTTGAATTTTTTGTATTCCAAAAGCAACAAATTGTTATTGAAAGATCTAAGAACTTTAATGGATGATTTTTTATCAACCAATGATTATATTAATATGTCTCTCGATGTCAAGAAAAAGTCCATTGAAAATTTGTATATTAAATGTTTAAAGAAAGCAAGCCATCATACTAAAAAGACCAATAATTTTTTTCAAAATAATATTAAACTTGCAGTTGAGTATTATCTACAAAATAAACTGTATACTGTCTTGATAGATAATATAAACGTCTTAATGGCAACTGAAGATGCCAAGTTAAATAAACTTATTCGAAATTACTCTAGTGCTATGATTGACATTGAAGTAGACCAAGAAGTAAAATCTGCGATACCTAATGCCAGGTGTGAATTATCCAAGTTGTATATGCACAAAACTATTATTGGAAAGTTTAAATGTTTAAAAGATACATTTTTAAAATTGTCTAATGGAAACAATAATTTTACAGTGGATAAACTACTAAGTGCTTTGGTTCATTTAGTCATACATTGTAAAATACCCAATTGGAATGCTCAAATATATTTTATGAAACATTATGTTATCAGCAATATTAAAGACTTTGATGATAATTTCTATTTAACTTCATTAGAAGCTGCTATTGAACATATAAAAGTTCATAATTTTAATCTTAAACTATCAACTAACATCCCTGATTCAAACTATAGTGTTTTTTATGATTATATTAGCAATGGAGAATACTAYAAAGTTAAAGAAACCTTAGAATATGTAAAAATACAACAGTTAAGCTCAAAATGTCATCCTTTATGTGAATGTGATTCTTGTATAAAAGAGATATTAAAAGAATCTGCAGTTTGTGTAAAGTATAAAGATGAACAGGGTCTTACWCCTCTCCATGTAGCAGCTTTTTATGGTTATCCACTAATTATTGAATTACTTTTGGAATATGGATCAGACATAAATGCTTTGGATAATTTTTCATTTACACCGGCTCATTATGCCGCGCTTAGAGGACAACAGAATGCATTATTGTTTTTATTACATAATAATGCATTAATGGTTGGAGACAATGAGGGTAATACTCCTTTGCATTTGTGTTGTTCAAATGGTCATGATCTTTGTGTCAAAGCATTGTTATATTTTATGGAATTTTCGGACTCAAAATTAAATATAAATGTACAAAACAATCAGGGAGACACACCTCTTCATTTAAGTTTTAAATGGGGTTATACTAATGTAGTCCAAATACTGATTGAACAAGATGGAGATCCATTAGTGTGTAATCGTAGAGGTCAAACTTGTTTTGATTGTGCTCACAATTCCAAAATGGTTGAGACATTTAAAATCAATAAGAAAAATAATACGGAAAGAGTGAGAAGAAGTAGTGTTGAAATAACATCRCAGCAAAAAATGATTGGAAAAATAATAACTGCAATATCTGATGGAGACATACGTTTAGTACAACATTATTTAGGCATTGATGATGAAAATCAAAACATAAATACGTTTRTAGATATAAATTGTTCTAATTATAAAGGCTATACTCCTCTTCACGTCGCAGCAGCCAAAGGCCAAACAAACATTTCAAAAATGTTGATTGGATATGGGGCAGACATTAATTCATTGACAACATCTGAACAGTATACCGCATTACATTTGGCTGTAAAGAACAAGATGAAAGGAGTTATTGATGTTYTCCTTGATTCCAAAAAATGCAATATTAACAGTCAGGATAAAAGTGGCAATAGTGTATTGCATTATGCATGTACAATTGGCGATGCTTATATAATAACCAGACTACTCGAACATGGTGCTGACTTAGGAATAATTAACAAGAAATTTATAAGTGCTTTAGATATTTTAAACAAAAATACAGATTTAAGGTAAAAAAATAAAATTATAATTTTAAACTAACTCACACGTTTATAGACTAGATAATTTTTTTTTTTTTAATACCTTTAAAAGCCCGAGCACACATAACGCCGTCTGTCGCGGCAGGCCGTGATATTGTATATGTATATATGATTATTGCGATGGTCAAGTTCTGTATTTAATTACAACCGGACCGCGGCCCGCCATGACAGACTACGTTCTATGTGTCCAAGCCTTAAAGATTCTTACACACTATAGCGATAACGGGAAAATGAGTATGGACATTATATTTTTACTGCCTATAGATAAAATATTTTCTCTATAACTGCTTCAGTGTGTGAGCTAAGACCATTGACATAATATAATATTATATAATAATATAAAATATTAAATATTAAACATTATATTATGTCAATGAGACCATGGCAAATAATGATTCCTCAATCAACACATCAAGTGCAGTCCATTTATATTATGTCAATGGCTAAGACCACAAAATTGACAATATGGCATATATTCTGTGGCATTATTAGGCATTTAAAATTAATATAGTTTAAACTATAGTTCACTTTGATACTATTACAGTATAAAAAACAAAGATTTACCACAAAACAATCATCTTAAACATAGATGTGTGCAAGAGGTATGTGCGTATGTGCTTGCAAACTCTATGGCCAGATGCTTGGGGGCACATGAACAATGTCTTAGTTCATAATTTAGACTGGGTTATAAAATGGTAATGCGATATCCATATGGAGCATAAACTWGTTTTTAAATTCATTTTGGACAGTTCTCAATAATTTAAGGAAATAGGGATTTTATTTTTAGTGTAGATATTTACTATTGATATTTCTCTAGATATGATTTATATCAATTACCTATGCATAATGTAAATTTTCATTTAAATTAACATGTTAGTAAAAAAAAAAATACCTTTAATTAAAGAAAGATGAAAAATCTATTTTTTTCTAATATAAAGTAGTACCATAAGTTTATTATACAATGTCTTGCATATTAATTTTAGGGGTATWTATATCTGTGGAGGGAGACACATTTTATCARCCGAATACTCTGCGAACAAAGTCGCATGTCTATGATATTAAAATAATAAATATACATATTTTTGACAATAACAATTTTATAATAATTTAAATAATAGACTTGTATTTAATATTTGTTTCAGGCACTTGATTTCAATTAAAAAAATATACTGATCCACAATACAGTGAAATATTATTTGAATCTTCATACAATAAGACGTTTAAAGTTTTTTGSAATAAAAAAGATCTATTTAATCATTTTTGATTTTGAAATTGTATTGTTATGTGATATAAAAATAAAGAAGAGTAAATGTGTACAACTGATATATTTTCTGAGAAAATTAGTACATATTTAAGTATCAAAATAAATAAAAATTGATTTTTGTTAACATGTTTAGTCTAAACTGTTTAAATGATTTTATATAATATTATATGATAAATGTTTTTATATTGAATTAATAAAGTGTTTTATATAATAATTGAATATTTTATAAAAAAAAAATAACCAAATTGTAACAACCTAATATTCCTAATTTTTTTGTGTATTCCTGTCAGAGAAATGACACGCCTATGATTATGATAATCAACTGTAGTCTTGTACAGGTCCATAAAACTTATGACCTGTGCCCATAGAAAAGAGATATTTAATAAAGTAATATTTAATAACTAAAACAAATGATTACAAGTTACAATTATATTATTATTCTGCCAATTAATTAGATAATGTTTTAAGGTTTATCTGCAATTATTTAGTGAAAATGACCCGTAGACCCCATTATGAGATGTTCGAAACACAATATTCTTTATTCCTATAAAGTACTACATCTAGTACATTTTATAATTTATATAAAAGTAGTACAACTATTATGATAAAAATGATGTGCTTATAATTAATGTTCATTAATTATTCATATTTCATAATAATTTCATTTATCTTGCGTGCTGTTGTACTGCAGCTGCTGTGTAGTGTGTATTCTGTTATCTTTAGAATACATCCTGAATCCTGATTTGTTTGATAACAGCCACACAAACAAGTAACATCATAATGATGATGATAATAATATTAACAATATTATATATACGTATACAAAAGTAACTGCAAACTTTGCCGTTCCTGTGTAAATTGTTTTTTTTTTTTTTTATAAACAATTTTCCATTGGTATTTAGCATTTAGATTTAGTCATTTTGATGGCAATAGTGCTGTCATGTTTCAAAAGATGCCTCGATGGCATCAAGTACACAGAACATACATCCTTTCCACTAATCAACCCTATATGTTTGGATACCAGCCGAATGGGTACAGGACGATATACAAGCTGTTGAATGATTAATGTAAGCTTTGTTTAATATTTTCTAATCATCTTAGGTAATGAAGTAGTGATTGTGAAAAATGGCACCAGGATATGTGGTAGTGGAGGTGTCTTATGTACTGCACCAATAGTGCAAAATAAATGTTACTTTGAAGTAAAAGTACAACAATCTGGTAAGTTTAACAGTTGTGTGCCTTTGATTTAATTAATATATATTTATATTTACGATTAGGAATCTGGGGAGTTGGCTTAGCTCTGAATGATGTAGATCTGTGTAAAGCACCTGGTGGTCATGATCAATACTCATGGGTGTTGTGCAATGATGGAGCACAGCGACATAACCAGCAAGTGTTAAAAGCTATAGATAATACCATTGAAGAAGGTGATATTATTGTAAGTATTAAAATCATTTTTTTCTCCTCAGTTGGTATAAATCAATAAAATGTATTTGTTTAGGGTGTTTATTATGACCATGTTGAATTAAACTATTCAATTAATGGCCAGCCAGTGAATGAACCTATTACAGGAATAAGAGGAACTGTATTCCCAGCTCTATTTGGTCAGTAAAAAAATATATTGTATTATTTTTTAAATTATTTTAGCAATAGGTATATGCAGACTGCAGAGTTGAGATTATCTATTAAAAATGAACATTAGAAAGTATTATATGGTTTATACATTCATTTCAACATATGGCTTATTAAATTATAACTATAAAATATGTTAAATTATTAAATAATAACTATTATGTTCCTGGTTACTAGGTACATGTTCTATTTGATACATATTATGGTTGACTAGAAATTTYAATGTAGTGATTAAGTGACTAATGAATGGTTCATTCAATTCTAGAGAACAATATTAAATCAATTTTTAATGCAACCCAGCATAATATAACAAATTTAGGAATCTATTCAAAATTTAGAATAATTAATTTTCTTCAAAATTCGCTTTATACAATTTTTATAAATAAAAAAATTGATGAGTATATCTTTGCAAGAATGAGAAAGATTCAACACCTTCTATAGACAATATAATGTACTTGGTGCTGTCTGGTTCTTATATTCTAACAAAAACCCATACAGTTCCAAGAGAATATTATAATCAATACAATTAATAAATACTTAGTTCTGGTCCTGTTCAAAATATAAAATAGCTTCAAAATTTATAATCATTTTTTTTCTGAAAAGTTTTGAAAAAATGAAATTGTTAGGTTTTTGCATACAATTCTCTAAACTAATTTTCTCAAACTTACTTAAATTTACAATTATGATAATTTACCACGAATTACCAAAAACTAAATTATTAAAAATAAAATTGTTGGTACTGGTCTAGTTGACCCTCGCCAGGAAGATTGCCTTCCAGAATGGCATTGCGCCCCCGCCACTCAAGTTTAGTGGCGGGGGAATTGCCTTCCTGGTGGGGGTCAACTAGACCAGTACCAAATTGTTTTTTTAAATAGTTAATATTAGATTTTTTTCATTTATTATTTAGGTTACAACTATTTTATGTTAAAATTATGTGAGGTTTTTTACTAAATCATTTTTATGCTTGTTTTGTCATATATATAACTTTTTGATCATCTATGTAAAATGTATCTCTGTATTATTATTACAAATGTTTAAAGTGTTTAAAATGATTAAATTGTATTGTATGTATTGCAGTTGATGATGGTGCAATATTAGACATTGTATTGGAAAAATTTTCATATCCACCATCTAATGGTTATGATAAAATCATGTTAGAGCAATCTATACTTTAATGATATTGTCTTGTGTAAAAACTAAAACGAATAACAAATTTATTAATCATTCCATTAATCATAAATTATAATTTTATATTTTTTCTATAAATTGTGTTATTTTTATGTATAATATATTAAGACTATTTGTAAACTAATGAAATAAATATCATTAAGTAATTTTATTAACTGAACATTTAGAAGGTTTGCTATATTAGTAGTTATACAACAAAATAATAATTATTATAATAAATATTTATTAACTTTAAACAAATTCATTTATAATTAATAATAAATATTCATTTATAATCTATATTTATAACAGATAARTACTTGAAATACTTGTTGTTGTGCTGCTATAAACAAAACAATGTATACTTTGTGCCTTCTAACTGTTCTTAGTCACCCATCGATAAATTGTTTTGATTTTACTACTCATAATCAACCAATTCAATTGAAGATAATATTATTATTTATTTATTTTTACAAATATAATCTTTACATCAGAAATGTTGTTAGCCCTTTGAACAAAACTTATAGACATGTATCAGTATTTTAAACTTAGTTTACAAACTAATACATAGTTCAAACAATATTTAAAATGAATCATAAGACTAATAAATTGTTTAGTGTAGAAACTAAAAGTTACAATGTATCTTTTTTATTTTTATTTATTGTTATTTAACTGATTGTATACATTAAAACTATGTTATAGAAACATTTTACTCTCTTAATATTTCTAGTTGAAAATGTTGTACTATTTGGTGTACTTAATATTCGCCTATCTATGTGTTATGTGTATAATATATAATAATATAATTAGTTATAATTATATCTGAACAACTGATCGTGAATCTCAGTTTATCAAAAATATATTTAATTTTTGTAATCATATTGTATCTTATTCTTCAATTTATATTCATTTTTGAAAATAAAATAATCTTTTACTACAATATGTCAAYGATAATKATGTGATAGTTTATCAGCTTAAATTATAAAGAGAATCTTAGTAATCCGGAGAAAAATACCTCTATTAATCATATTTTATAAATTAAAATACAGAAGAAAGAATGGATTACTTATTATAAACTTTTGTAGACAATAAAATTATAAAGAATATAATGTAAACAAATATAATTTATTTTATATCAACTTATACAATGTTAACACTATAATAACTTTTATACTTAATCAAATTCAGACTCATGTGGACACATACAAATATTCACATTTTAAATATGATTAACTAACTAGTATACAAGCATATAATATATTTATTTCACCGCTACAGCATACAAATTACTAAAATATAATTAAGTTTGAGATATCAACAGTTAAGATTGTCAACTTACTGTATACACACAATTTGATTTAATGTATACATATTTATGCATTTATATTAAACATAACAAGATTTTTGGTAAATTATAAGTATATTATAGAAATTAAAATGATAAATTACAAAATTCACAGCTATAATTTTATTTAGTTTCCTAATAAAATGTTAAAATAGTTTGGAATATCAGGTATACATGTTATCAATAAATTAAAACAATGTACGTAATTTGAAATTAATTTTGCAGTCTTGAAAAAAGTAATATTTGATAATGAAGGATACATATACAATTCATATGATAACTTTGATAATAATGTATCCAAGATTTAATGACTTATTTTGCTCTCATCTGATATGTATATTTTAGTAATAAATGTTAATTCAATTAAAAATATTGTAGAATGGTCATTCTATTTACATTTATATCAATTGTTAAATTAATAAAAATAAAAATAATATTGGAATGGCTTAATTATTGTTGATGAATATTAAATAGATTTATTTAAAATTATATTTAACCTCTACAAGTTATTTTCCTTTTCTTATGATATGAGAGTATATTTATAAGAACATTGTTCCATAGTACAACAATTACTAAATTATATTAGTATATGAACTATAATTAATCATATAATAATATGATTATTATTTAAATGTGTTTATTTGTTTTTAAACTAAATACAATTAATTTAGTTTTAGTATTTTGGCATGGCAGAAACCAGTGGCGTAGCCAGGATTTTTTTTAGGGGGGGGTTTTAATAACAGAATACATTTTACCACGACCAAATGATTGTATTCCTATATTATAAACATTATATTTTTGATATAAATACGGCTGAGGGGGAGGGTTATAACACCCAAACCCCCCCCCCCTGGCTACGCCACTGGCAGAAACAATCTCAGGAAATGGTTAAAATCTATTTTATACATATTGTTATATAATATACATACTTTAATAAGCAAGAGATCTGTTACTTTTTTTTGTTTTTGCTTAAAAAAAAAAAAGTTAATGCTACGTATAATTTACCTCGTTGTCGGCAGCTTCAGTCTCTACTTCTTTTTCCCAGTCAAATGCAGTTTGACTTGGCAGTTGGCCTAAATGTGCCCATCTTTCTTTAAAATTTGGGTTTTTAGCTCGTAATTTTTCAAAACGTCTATCATGGAAAAAAATAAATCATTACTGAGTAAGTATAATTAATATTTTATAATGTAGTACCGAAATAAGTAGTGTTTTGCAAAATTATACAGTTCTATGTCCAATGCATTTATTCTTTTCACTTTTTCCAACTCTTCATCATTTAATAAAGATTTATAAACTGCAGATAGAGTTGTATTGTGTTGTGTAAATGTTACTGCAAATCTTAAATTAAATGTTTCTTCAAATATGTACTGATTTAGCTGAAAATAATGGTTCTATTATAATAACTAATATTCCAAATCGGTATTCTTTACTTTTTGAAATTCGGTGAGTCCAAAAAATGCGATTGATAATAAATTTCTTTTAGCACTTGCTAGCATGACTCTGTTCCGTTCTTCTTGATTCATATATGAAGAATTGTAACAACCAATAAGAGATAGATCTGCTAACATTCTTGTTTGTCTAAAGAATTATAATAAGAAGAAACTTTATAATTTTCCATTCATTAATAACAATAATTCATGATTAATAYAGTAATCAAAGTCCCAAAATAAATATTTTAGTAATAGCTAATGATTATTATTTGTATAATTGTAAGAAAATCAAAATAGACAAAAAGATAAAAAATATTTTTACATAATTTAATATCMATTTCTTTAAATTAATTTTTTTTTATCAAAGTTATTGGCAGTTATTACTATTTACAACATCACATATGCTTTTATTTATATCTTGATTTCCAAACAATTATGATCATTTCAAAATGTACAGTCTTAGAATCCTTATAACTTAGTAGTTATTGTATCTATATCAATAAAATCCTCATTGATGCTCTAAATAATAATCAGAATCTTACCTCTAAATTGAATAAAAGGTTAATTTACTCAAGTTTAAAAACAACAGAGTAAAGTTTGTTATAATGAATGTAAAATTTGGTTTGTTGTATKTTAGTAAAATCACAACAAAATAAATGGTTGTGACTCCTTTAATTGTATTAAATAATAAATATTAAACATTTTGATTACCGATTTGCAGCTAAATTATGTGGGCAATCTGCAAATGAATTCAATGTAACATCTGTCCAAAATGTACCATTATAACATTTAGGCAATTCTTCAAGTGATGCTGGATGACCTCCACACCAATGTCTAGACATTCTCCAAGTAGCTCCTCTTTGTACATGTTTGTATTCAGAAAGATAACGGCTAACTGGATCTCTCAATAAAGTAAGATAGAAATATCTGCAAAGATAATTAATTGAATTGATTTTATTTGAACTTTGATTCATTATAACTTTAATTACCTTCGTTTAATGGATTTCCCTTCATTTTTGTCAAGTTCAGAATCAACACATCCAGATAATTCAGTAAAATCTGCATGAAGTCCACATTTCCATCCAGTAGAATATCGACTAAAGAGCCAATTTTCATTTCGACTAGGTCTGAAACAATAGCATAACTTTCTTTTTCTTTGACATGTACAAGGACGCTGTAAGTCTAAATCTTGAACAAGATGACGGCCAAATGATGTACCGCCTGTTTTTTGTATATGTAAAAATACCATGACATCATGTGCATTCATGTCAAAACGTAATTGGTTTTCATTCTGCATATCATTATAACTTACTCCTGTACCTGTGTCTTTGGCACTTTTAAAATCTAARATAAAAACAATAGGTTGAAGAAATTAATGTTTGGAAACAATTTGTAAGACATTTTTTACCAGTTATGTTGGTCGATAGAAGATTCATTACTGTCCATTCTGAATAAATTGCAGGTTTAGGGTTATAGGATAGTGAACAGCGGTTGTCTGAACAAAAATAACCAAAATATATGATACCAAATAAAGTCAGAAATGCAAAAAACATGACCAGTTTCCTTAAGGTAATACGATGCTCTATTTTTCTTCTCATTTGAATATCTTTTAGCAAGTGTTTACAGTCCGATTGCTCAACTACATCGGTAAAGGCCATTTTGTACCAATCATCTCATTTACCCAACAGGTAAATACTACTGAATTTTTGTGCTGGTAAAGGACGTGTGAGAAAAATGTAGTGTCAGCATGACAGTTAACAAAATTTATGGCACCAACTTTGGTGTACATAAAACGGTATTACAATATATATGTAATTTGTACTTAAGTGCCCTGTAAACAGTGTAAACCAACTGAGGTAACACTCGACGGCTCAACAATGATGATTTTCAAATACCTATTTACATCCTTATCTTGAAAATTTCGGTTATCATTGATTTTTTTGTTCTATGTTAGTATCGTTATCTGATAACCTTACAGTGCGATCAATTCAATACGTTTTCAGCAMTGCTTTTTGATGTCAGGTCTGCGTTTGTCGTTTGAGCGCAATTTACATTGATATTTTGAATTTAGTAGCACACCGCAGCTCGTTATTGCATCAATATAATTATAAGTGCTAAAAACAGTATAAACAATTGTGATWCATCAAGTAGTCTGCAGTTTGATGTTGTGTTTTAATTTCGGAAGTCTAATAAAATATTGGTTTTATATGAAATCTATGACTGTTGTCTTATTATTTATTTCAGAGAATATAGCTTGATTATTTAATATTGTTTACCGCCGTATTTKCAGATATTCTGCAATGAAGATAATATGGATTACCCCGTTATTACTGATCCAGAGTTACCGTAAGTTAAAAAAATCAATATTCATTTTATCGCATTTAGTCCATATATCTATTATATATAATTTATACACTTATGTTGTATTCCTATAAAAWTTTTACACGATTACATAAATATATCAATTAAGTAAAAATGTACAATTTCATATATTACACCAAATCTATGAAATTTTCTACCAATATTAGCAATTTTATGAACAAACTTATAATTTTAATTTTTTTTTGTTTTTTTAGTGTACATTTTTTTAATTATTTATTTACAAGTATGAAGTAGATATCTAAGTCTTAAATAAATGTTAGGTATTTTACATGATTAGTATAAAAGTATACGGTATATTTTTACAAAATACTTGTATTTTAAATTTTTAAGCGGAGTGATATATGCGTGCTTTATTTTAGATTCTAAGCGGAGCAATGAATGTATTGATTTTACCATGATGTGTGTTTTTATTTATTTTTTAATTTTTAATTTTTTTTTTTTGTGTCTGTCATCACGTTTTGGGGCAGTAAAAGTGCTTCGATTTTTGACTTCAGTACCTCGTTCGAATTAAAGGAAAAACGGGAAATTTTACACACAATCAGTTTTCGACAAAATCGATTTTGGTTTTTGATATAACTTTAAAACAAATGGCCATATAGATATATTATGATATTTTTACCGAATGTTTATATAAGTATATTCTATCCACCATGATTTTTTTCAAAAATCTCGACTTAARTTAAACTATTTATAGTCATATAATATGCAATTTTCGATCATTATTAGTTTTTTTWAAATTAATATCGATAAAAATTTATTTGAGTAGAAAAGCTTGACAATTGAATACAAAACTTCTAATATATTGTTAAAATAGTAGTTGAAAAATAAAAGAAATACATAGTCACAATTATTTTCTAGAAGCATTCAAATTTTAATTTTGACAACATACGTAAAACTCACAAAAATTCACAAATTATTTTAAGCTGGAAATTCATAAAAAATTTTCTTTTTAAATCTAAGATTTGAAATTTTTTAATAATCTATAAATGTCCTAGACAGATAAACCGTCTCCGCTAAGAATCGTTTTTCGTATACAATGATATATGCAATTTCATTGGATTCAAATTAAATTCCATCGATTATACAGTAACCCACTTGTAACCTACTGTAAAGGCGAGCGACATCCACGACTTACCCGCTTTTTTTTGTGTTTAAATTGTCATCATTTTTTTCATCAATCAAAGTGTTTCAATCTTCAACTTTAAAATATTTTATGGCTTAAAAGAAAGTGAATCCAATTGGCAAAACTCAAAAGTAAAAAATGTAACTTTGGTAAAAATAGCGAATTTCTARTACAATGTTTCATTAATAATCAGAACAATTTTTATGCGCATTTTATGCGCTACCAGTTTTCAAACAAAATCAGTTTCGGTTTCTTTTTGTAATTATCCAAAAGACTTGAATTTTTCATCAAATTTCTGTATTCAAATTTTCTACTTATGGTATAATGTTTTATGTTGAATATATTATTGCGCTATTTAAATATACGATAAATTTACGATTTTTTTGATTTTAAACAAAGAAAAGAATTTATTGGTTTTACAATAATGATGTATGGTTTTTTAAATTTGTTTTTGTTTATGAATACACTTTTATTAGCAGAAAAAATGCTCTAGTCATAAACTTTGTTGRAGCTTTTAGTTTTGGCCTTCTAGGTCTTAGAAAATTGTATCTAGTAAATAATTTTGGATGATAAATTTGATAAATTTGATCAAAATCAAACTTAAGAAGTTCATAAAAGTATAATACGGATTTAAGCTCAATGTTTTTTTAAATTATATAATGACTACAACTTATGAGAAACCTTGTATTAAATTTTTAATAAGTTTTTATGGTTATTAATTATAAAAAATAACTAATAAAAATAGAAATTATATTCTAACCATAAATAGCTTAAAATGAGTCAAAATATTATATTTTTAACATTTTATTGTATATAATATATATTATAAAATGCTAATATACAGTATACACATTCGGTGAAAATTCAATGCATCAACTGTACGGTTATTTTTTTTAGAGTTACACAAAATATCAAAATCTATTTTTTAAGAACTAGTTTTGCGTAATAACTTCTGTTTTCCTTATTTATTTTTATTTTTTTGTTCTTCCTATCTGTTTTGAATACTATTGGGAATTTTTCATTTCTGACTACTCAACATTCCAACTAAATTGATTTTTCTACCAGAAAAGATGCTGGAATAGAAAATCGGAACACTTTTACTGYCTCAAAGGTGATGAAGAATAAAACAAATATCATTGTAAGATCATTATATATTCATCACTTCGCTAAGAATCTATCTCCGATAGCTTCTCCTCCGTGTTTACGCCCATGGCCCATGATACAAATGTATCATTGAGACATTGAATTCTAGCTTAAAGCTTAACACATTTATTACAGTGACCTATTCAATGAAGAAGTACATTGATATCTACTATTATATCTTATACACTGCACACAGCAAAATGGTTACATATATATATATTATATATTATATTATATTATATTACATATTACATATATACGTATATACTTGACTATACTTGTGCGTAATTTTTTATTCTAAAATTGTCGATCAAACAATCTTACGGTCTGAAAAAGGTTTGAAAATTTAATATACTTTTCTACGTATATTATATAAAGTTATAAACCTAGTTCAAGATTTAATAATTTTATAAATATGAGCCTACATACCTTTATGGCTATTTTATAAATTATAATATACTACGTTATGCATATAGGTTAATAACATAAGTATAAGATATAATTGTTAAGTTATTATTATTGTATAATAATTGTTATAATTTTGGTTGTCATTCATTATGTTTATAAGTGTATACTCTTGACYTCAAAATATGATATAGTATAATATATTGTTCCCGCGCCCTTTCCTATACACACCTTCACTTGTATTAATTTTGGCGATAATCATTTTTGTGTATTTTACTATTTCCGCCGTCGTGCCGTAATATATAATACCTACAACATGTTATAAATTGTTAATTATTATTAAAATTTTGAACGATGATCTCGAGGTGAAGATGTGTTATAATAATAATGCAAAAAAATATTAAAAATGATTATATAAAAAAAATCGAATAAAATAAATAAACAAACATAAAAATATAATAAATAAATAAATAAATAAAAACATTAAAACCTGAAAATCATATTACATGCTGGTACATAAAAATAATCATTTATTAGATTTAAGCATCATAAAGATGTGATATCATGAATAAATGCAAAGTAATTTAAATTTAAAATAAATCTCAATTTTGACTTTCAATCTTTACTTTCCGAGGATTTCTTATATATATAWATATAAATGAATAATTGAGAACTTTTTAAAAAACAAATTAAGTAACATACTTACATATTATGGAAATGTATTAAATAGTATAGTTACGAATGCGGAACGGACATGTTTATTTGTGGA